CCACCTTGTGTTTGAACACATGTAATAGCTCCTGCATACATATCTTTAATGATTTGAATATAAGCATTATTGACTCCTTTCTTTTTAAGAACTCTCCATAGCACTTCTCTTGGAACTTTATCATATGCTTTTTCTAAATCAATAAATATCATATGTAGATCCTCCTTATTTTCTCTATATTTCTCCATCAAACCTCTTAATAAATGTATGGCTTCCATAGTCGACCTACCCGGCATGAATCCAAATTGATTTTGAGAAACATTAGTATCACGCCGCAACCTATGCTCCATAACTCGCTCCCATAGTTTTAAAGTATGACACATTAACTTAATACCTCTATAATTCGCACAATCTTGTGCATCACCTTTATTCTTAAAAATAGGAATTAACATACTCATTCTCCACTCATCTGGCATCTTTTTAGTCTTCAAAATAGTATTAAAAAGTTTAGTAAGCCATGAAATTCCTTCATCTCCTAAGCATTTCCACACCTCTATTGGGATATCATCAGGTCCAACAGCTTTTCCACCCTTCATTTTCTTTAAAGCCTCTCTAATTTCAGTTTTACTAATATGCCGATAAAAACATAAATCTTTATTTTCATCTAGGGTGCTAAGGTCACTATAGTCAATCTTATTTTCACAATCTTCATTAAAAAGTTTAGCAAAATATCTCATCCATCTTTGTTGAATATCATCTTCTAAGAAAAGTATTTTTTGATCTTCATCTTTAATACACTTCACTTGAACTAAATCCTTACTACTCCTATCTCTTTGTTTGGCTAACTTATACATATATCTTTCTCCCTCTTTAGTATCTAATCTATTATATAAATCACTAAAAGCTAATGCCTTTGCATCGCATATTGCTTTCTTAGCATCCTTACGAGCCATTTTATATATTTCTTAATTATCATAATTTTTAAAATTAAACCAATTTTTATAACAAAGCTTCTTATTTTTAATTTTTTCTTGCACATTAGGATTCCACCACCAACTATTTTTACTATTGGGAGCTTTTCCCTTTGATACTCCAAGGACATCTTTTGCAATATTCTTAATATCAGTAGCCACTTTTTCCCACATAATATTAGCATCCTCATGCACAGACAAAATCTTAAGATCTAAAATCTTATTTCCAAAAATATTTTTGTTAATATTCTTTAAATGCCCCCATTTAATTCTAGAAAATTGTTTTACTTTATTTTTTATTTTATGCCCTTTTATCTTAAAGTCCAAAACTAATAATCGATGTTGGGTACATAAATTTTCACTCGGAATAACTTTACAATCTTTGCAATCTAAACGATTTAATTTTCTAATAAGAAAATAGTCAATCTGGGTTGTATTATATCCATTTTTATAAGTGATGAGATGCTCATTCCTTTTCTTAAATAAGGTATTAGCAATTGAAAAATCATAAGCTAAACAAAAATCCAATATGGTCTTGCCGCCTTCATTCGTCGTTCCAAATCCATGGCCATCATGAATGCTTTTAAAATCATCTACCTCTCTACCAACATGTCCATTTAAATCTCCTCCAATAAAAACTCTTTCTTCAAGAGGTATATTTTGTATTAATTCTTCTAAGTCATTCCAAAAATTTAATTTAGAACTCATATCCAAACCTACTTGAGGAGCATAAGCACTTATAATATTAATAATCTTATCATCAACAACAATCTTTAAAGTTATAATTCTATCTCCAATCCTATTAATTTTTATAACATTATCTTTTAAACTCTTATCTATAATAACACCTACACCATTTCTAGTATGACTCCTACCTGAATACCATAGTTTAAATCCTAAACTATCAATTTCCTTAGCCTTATCTCCAACCCATTTAGTTTCCTGAATGCACAAAATATTTAACTTCCTATGAATCATAATATCTATTAATTCCATTAATTTTCCTGTAAGGGAACCTATATTCCAAGTTCCTATCCTAATTTTAGTTTCATGGACTAGCTTCTTTGCCCACATTCGTCCTTGATGTGGGAACCCTTGCCTATTTAACACTGCACCCGGGCGCCGGTGCAGCGGCCCTTGCACACTTGTCACTGTATTCAGGCCATACAGCGCGTCGCTTCCAGGGGACGCCCTAGCATTAACACAATTTCTTAAAGGATTCATGTCATTATTGTTCGACAAATTTTACGCTGGCTGTCGACTACCTAACGCAACCCTCCACTTTTCTCATCCGGGACTTAGGACCTGGCAACGGCAGTGTTAAAAAAAATAATATTATACATACTACTTAATTTTAAATATTTATAAAACTAACATAGTTATATTTCCTTAAATTTTCGCCTAAATATTAAATTTGTACAAAAATTTTAACATGTAATTTCCTTTTTTATTTTTTAATTTCTAAAAATTTTATTATGGTGCTCATAAATACATAAATTTAATAATTCAAATAAATAACATAAATATTAATTTATAAATCATTATTATTTTAAAGTAGTGTATCTAATTACTTAAGTTTTAATTGTTGAAATTTTGTTAATATTGCATATGAAATTATTATTTTTTTAAGAAAAGATTAATCTCATTTGAAGCAACCTTTGATTTATAGGATAAAGAATTTGTTCCTACCGAAGATCATTTATTTTACCTACGCAGCTCATCTTCGTTTGCTAATTAATAGTTATGGTTGCCAAATAAGAGATCTTCGGCTTTAATTTTATGCATGTGAAGTGTTTGTAAATTTGCCTTAATTCACTCAAATGTCTCCAAAAAAATTTCTTTTACCCATTCTGTTGAAAAGAAATGCTTGCATTTTCAAAAATTGCTATTGTTTTTATCAAATGAAGTATTTAATAAATGAATTAAATTTATATAATTATGCATTGTGATTCTATGAACACTATGAAGAGGCTAAGATGACACTAATGTACTATACTAAAGCTTTTAAAATTATGAGAACTTATAATTTGATATTAATTTAGATTTCTTATCACAATCCTTCATAAGGAATATAATTTAATATGGACAAATGATATGACTATGAGTCTATTTTGGATAGCTCTCTCATTGCTTTGTTTTTATAGAGCAATTATAGCTCATTTTGGCTAAAACTTTTTTTGTTGTTTTCTCACTATTTTTAAAAATTTATATAGTGAGAAACTACTTTTTATAACTAGAATTACTAATGTTTATAAAACAATGCAATCTTTCCAAATAGACCCTATATCTCTATAGAAATAACCAAAATGTTAAGCATTATTTGACCTCAATAAAAAATACACTAAGAAAAATGATTGGCAAGCTTTTTATAATGCTATTGTTGCAGGCTAGAATATACGTGGCGATAGAGTTAGAATAATATGTTTTAGTGTTGTACATATATCCAGCTCACACACAGAGAACACAAGATTTTTTACGTGGAAAACCCTTGAAAAGGGAAAAACCACGGGGCCTAGTCCAGTTGAAAATGATTCCACTAAAATTTGAGTCGGTTACAATGGGTTGACTCGCCTCCGATGGAGATCAAATTACAAGTAACAATTGTACGATAAAAGTCTGGGTGTCATGTGATAGTCTGATAGAACTTAGGGCCTCAGATGATGGTCTGGCAGAACTCCGGGCCTTAGGTGATGATCTGGCGAAGGCGAGAGCCTCAGGTGGAGGTCTGGCGAAGGTGAAGGCCTCTGGCGATGGTCCGGCAAAGGTGAGGGCCTCAAGTGGAGATCTGACGAAGGAGAAGGCCTCTGGCGGTGGTCCGGCGAAGGCGAGGGCCTCTGGTGGTGGTCCGACGAAGGCGAGGGCCTTAGGTGGTGGTCCGGTGAAGTTCCGCGCGAGACTCCGGTGGTGGTCCGGCGAAACTCCGGCGGTGGTCGAGGAGGAGCTTCTTCCTACTCCTCATTCTCTCTTCCTTCTCTTCTTTTCTTGCTTGGGTCCCTTTTCAAGAAAATAATAGGTCTATTTATAGATTTTTGGAGTGACATGGCCCATATATTGAATCCCTTGATCATGGACCGTTCGTCAGGCATTTGGAGGCTTGAATGATTTTGGAATTCAATGATCTTGGGCTCGTTGGATTTGTCTCGTCGAGTCGCTCGATTCGACTATAAGCTCGTCATATTTGGAAACCGTTTGCTAACTCAAACAGTGGTACGAATCTTCCAACAGCGCTTTGGGTCCTTGATTTGGGCTCATTTGGGCTCGGATTGAGTCGAATTTGGTGTCGTTGGATTTGTATTTCTGAGACGCTCAGTTTGACTGTAAGTTTGCTGAAATTGGAGTTCAGGTGATCCCGAATTTAATTTTTGAAGCTTTCGGCTTGATTTTGCCTCGAGATTCGTGTCCGATCAAGATAATTTTTTTAATGATATATCAGCTATTAATAAATAGCTCAATAATCATCAAATAAAACATTATCTTTTTTTTATTATTTGAAAAAGATAGAAATCTATTTTTGGCTAATAACTATTCAAAAGAGAGGAATGACACTTCTCTTTGCCTATCAAGTCCAGAAAATCAGACATTGGAGTTCCTCAAGCTATTAAATTCAAGAACATTGTGTCCAAGTAAACTCCTTAAATAGTTATATAAAGTTGGGAATGAATATTTTATTGAGATTTAGGCTTTATTTGGGACAATTTTTTTATTGCTTTGTAAAATTAATTTTAGTACAAAATTGAAAATTCTCTTAAAAGCAGGAAAAAAATAGTGGTCTAAAACTATCCCAAATAAAACCGTAGAAGAGACTTATGTCAAATCATTGATAATAAATAAATAAATTATTAACTTGTAAAACATATTAATAATTTTATAAAAACTTTGCTATAAATAACCGAGCAGAAAGCTCCCTACTATACGAGAAATTATTCTGTAAGGAGGCCGGACGCGAAACGCGGTCCAGAGACCAACCGGAATGCATCACCGAGCAGTACTGAGCTGCGATACAGAGCATAAAGATGATGTGATGCATGTTGATTGATCTCTAAGTGAGGTTCGACATCCACAGATAATAACTAATCCTGCTTTACAGCTAAAGCTTACAAAGTGTTAATAAGAGCTGCTGGAAGCACAAAGTGTACATCAATGCGTATTCTTCGAAGAAAGAGACAAAACTTGAGAAACTTAGAGTAGCAGAAAAAAAAATCAAGTAAAATGCAAGTCTTCCTGCTGTCTTCTGAGGTAAAATGCAAGTCTTCTTTCTTCGAAGGAATACTCCTCAATTGCTTTTGTAACGATATTTGCTTCTTCTTCATAAGCAACGGAACATGGAGCAGGAGTGTTGGCCATCTTCATTGGAGTCGACACTGTTCCTGGAGTCTTAGGTGTTGCAATGGGCGTCGCCTTCGGTGTCTTGTTTTGTTCCTCGGAAACTATGTTGTGGATTAGTTGAGTCGTCAATGGCAGATTGTTGGTTGGAGTCAGAGGGGCAAATGGCTTTCTATGATCAGATTGGAAAGCATTTGCATTTGTTGAATTGAAAGATAGTTTCTTTACTGGAATTCCAGCATCCAAATCTTTCTTGGCTACATGAATTCAGGTGTTGAGTGTGGTCAGTAGCCAAAGTTAATGTGAATTCAAGTTTTGAAGAAGTTCAAAGGAACAAACCAGGAGAAACAGAAGTGCACTCGTTTGCTCTCTTTGTTGTCTTAGTGCTGCATAGAAGATCTGGTTTTGTTGGCTGTAATGCAGCTGCCCCTAGAGATAACCTTCGGCTTGCACCGCCTGTAGAAGTTCTTGGCAATTTCTTAGCGCTTTGTGGCTTGGAAGGGCTTGGCTTGGATCCAAAAAGTGCCTCTTGTTGAACAATTAGTTGACTTTGCAGTTTCTTCTGATCCTAAAATGTTATGTTAGAGCGTTAGAGCTTGTTAATGGGCATGGCAATATGCACATATTGAATATCAAAGGCAACAAGTAGTATTACCCTTTGCCTCTTTTTTTCTAGCTCTTTCTCCTGGCGAACAAAAGCATATTCTTCTAGCATTGACAAAAGACGGACCTGTAGTAAGAGGAGATGAGATTTAGGGATGGAAACCAACAAGTATCTCATAGCTCTCTTTTCTCAGACAATATCAAATTTGTTGGTTAAGGCTTCATTTGGGATGGCTTTTTTACTGCTTCTCTAAACAGCTTTTTAGTACAAAAGTTAAAATTTTTGTACTAAAAAATTACTTTAAAAAGAAAAAAAATCGTCCCAAATGAAGCCTAAGTAGTAAGAATTGCTTACGCCATCATACGTAAACTCAGTTCCTCTTTCTTTCTCCCATGCTATGACTTTACAACATAAAGCCTCGACAATTCCTAAGAAGAATCATAAAAAATGATTTAGGACAAGTTGTGGAGATAGGCATAGAAACAAGCATCAAATAAAAGCATTAGTTGTTGAGATAGTTAAACTGAAATTAGACTAAAAGGAAAGCTAACCAGGAATCCTTTGAACTGTAGCTCGAGCTTTTTCAGCACGTTTTAGTACGAGATGGGCTCCCCTACCAGCACTGTAACGGTTTTCATCCTAAAAGCAAACAGAATTGATGTAGTTGAGCAGCTATACGAAGAAGAATTTCAAAATGGCTGTATAACTAGTCAACAAGAATGCCTCACCCTGTTATACTCCTCTAGCCAGGCCTCTTCTTCGCATGCAGCCATCCATTTCTCAACCCTTTCAAGGATTTCTTTCCTACCAAAAGCTTCCTCTTTTATGCCTGAAATCTGGGCCTCAATCTGCTCCAAGATTAGAGAGGGGTCAATAGCACCTACAAAATAAAATATCACAATCAAAAGTATTAAATTAAAAACAGGAAAATAGGGAAACCATGCAATTATCAGAACTTTAAATTGCCAAAAGTTTACCAGCTTCGATGGCTTCAATAGCAATTTCCAATTCACAGTTTCCTTGTGTAACCAAATGTGTGTTCTGGCGCATGACTTCTAGTTGGGCCGCCTTCTTTAGGACCAGCTCTTTCATCTTGCAACCTTTCAGTTTTTCAAGCCTCAAAACTTCTGCCTCCATCTGCGCATCATAAATTCCTAAAGTATAAGATCACTGTTTCCTAAAGGTTGGTAAACATAACAATGCAAATGAGGAAAATCTGTTAGACCGGTCCAGCCGGTTCACACGGGACCGGTCCGCGGAAACAGAGGCAGAAGTTTTTCCGCCTCTATATGCTGCTGAACATAACCACCGGACAAATAGAGCTGATTAGGAAGGATTTTTTGAGAGATTTGGGAGGAAAATTTGAATGTAGGGACTGTTTAGGGATTTTCTTTTGATTTGTATGCATTAAATAGTTTGTTTTCCTAGGGGGTTAGGGCATCTTGAATTTGGCTGAAATTTGAGATCTCTTAGATTTAGGTTTTTCTTTGGGCTCTAGCGGCGTCTAGAGATTTGGGAGAGATCGATCCTCCTCTCGAATAGAGGATCAATTGTATCTTGTTAGTTTCCGTTTCCCTTTTATCAAATAATACAAATTATCTACTGTTTTTGTGGTTTTGTGTGGATTTTGATAGAGACAGTTCGTGGTATTCCGAAGATTGATAGGAAATACTTGAGATCTTCAAGTGCTTCCTATCAAAATCATGTCTATTTTTATCTCCCATTGTAGTCAACTCACAAAATTTATAAAGTCGGCTGAAAGAGAGTTTGGCTCTGTAATCTCATGCTCTGAAGCAGCAACATTACTTGTTGCATTTTGAAACAGCTGCTGTTCTTCTATTGGTGTGTCCATCAGATTCCAAAGTTCCAGCAATGTAGTTGCAATATCTTGAAGCTGTCGAAGCTCAAACACTATCAGTATGGAAACACAAGTGGAATACTTGGCTAATAAAGTTACTTGCCTTGTTCATTCTTTGTACTTTAACGTCCCTCAGTTTATGTATGATAGATGCCAACCTTTCAATCACATCATTACTGACTATCTTTGACCCTTCAGCTTCACCCAAACTAGGGTGCACTTCAATCACTGTTCGCTTGAAATCTACCCCAAGAACTGTACATAATGCATTTAAAGTATTTAAATGTTCCAACACTTGCTTAAGCCGATCATCCTGTAGAAGAAGGCAATTAGAGAAGATCATATATTTAGAAAACAGAAGGCAATCAAAAGCCATTACCTTCTCCGTTTGTAGCGCCTCTAACTGTCTCTGAAATTCCTCGATCTTTCTTGTGGAAAGATCAGATTCATCTACAACAATCCTGGGCAGAGCTTGCCCATTAGGATGAATTTCACTTGAGATCTTCCTTATTTGTTCCATGATTTGAAGGAACTGTTTCAATCTAGCACTTTTCCTCTTTCTCATCTCTTCTAATTGAGGGTTGATAGCCATGAGCTCTTCTTTCAAACTTGTAGCATTTTGATTCGACTGCACAAAGTAATTTTAAGAACAAAACACACAAATAGATACTAGTCCTGATGAATAATAAATCTCAGCAACTTTGATTAAACACTTAGGAAGAAGATATGCTTCAGGTTATGGGATAATTTAGACTCTTTTGAGGGCTTATTGGTCTTGCAAATAAAAAACATGTTTACAAAACAATTCCATTTTCGTTTATTTGGGCGTGAAAATGAATAATCATATTTAAGAGATGTTGAAGGTGTTCGGCGAGAATAAAATTAATATTGATTTCTAAATTCATTGAACTAAATAATGGAATAAAATAAATTCATTATTTTCCAAAATCTGTTTTCAAACTTCAACCAACCAAATGGATCCTAAATACCTTCTTAGACTGAAGACTGTAAATGATATAGACATGTGGCTTCCGCCAATTACTCCAAAAGGATAGGGGAAATAAGAATTAAGGAACATTTAGGCTTCGTTTGGGATGGCTTTCTTACTACTTTCTGAAACAGCTTTTAAGTTTTTTTTTTAGTTTTTTTTTTTTTTTAAGAATTTTTTGTATTAAAAAGTTGCTTTTGAAAGCAGTAAGAAAGCCGTCCCAAACAAAGCCTTAATCTGATGGAAGCATTGTTGAAAAAGGGTAAGGAGAATGAGAATTAAGGGATATTTATTTTGATAGAAGTGTTGTTGTAACAGGAAAGATGCCAATCAAGCACTGAATTTAACATGATCCAATGGAAGTGAGCGAAGACAAACCTGCTTGAGGTGAACAGGTCGCTCACCCATAGCAGAACAGATTGCAGCTAGCTCCGCTTCCACATCAGCTATTGCTTGGCGCAAATAGGCCCTCGAACGGTTCGCTAAATCAACCTTTCTCCTGTATACCTCAAGGCACTCTTGTTCTAGCTCGAGAAGCATTTTGTCTCTTTCAGCATCCGATTCTCCAACCTCATTCCATATCATCTAAATAGAAGAAAAAAAAAAGTCAACATATTGTACACCCTTCAGAGCAATTTAACGTTTAACAAAATTAATAGTTAACCTGAAGTTCATATAGAATAAAAAGAGAGAAAGTTTTGAATAACAGTAAAAGTACTTATACATGGAAAATTATAAAGAAAAAAAAAACAAGAAATATTGTTATCTTCAATGCAAGCTTTAAATGACAGAAGTAAAAAAAATTACCTGAAGCTCATATAGAAGGGATTCACAGGTTGTTTCAATCTTTGAAAGCTGGTCACGAGGTGAAGGGCCCATTATGAGCTATATTTACACTCCACGTGGTCAAATTTAGAAAAGTTCGTGAAGGCAGGAAGATTGCACCTATAGTTTCTGCATCGCGTACAATAAATTGACAATAATAAGGTTGCTGAGTAGGATAAATTGGAACACTCCGACACATTGATAGAGACTCCCATAGATTTGTCAAAGAAAAATATCAAATGATGATACATATCCAAAACTTCATCCAATATCATGATGTGAGCCCTTAGATATGCTTTAATATGTGGTATGTAGGGATTGTGCATTTAATCCTCTGACCATGCGGCAAGGAAAAAATATGAATGTAAAGCAGCAAAAAAAAAGAAGGAAACTAAGCAGAACCATCAAAAACCTTTCCTTTTCGCTTACATTTTGGCCCATGAGAAGTCCATAATTTCAAGTAATCGAGCATATAAATATTCATTTATGTCAATTCGGGTGTTAAGAAAGGTAGAGGTAGATCTAAAAAAACTTGATTAGAAAATATTAGACATGATATTTCTTTATTAGATTTAAACGAGAATTTGACTTTTAATATGACACAATGGAGAAAAAGGATTCATGTAGCGGACCCCATGTAGTGGGACAAAGACTGATGTTGTTTTTGTTGTTGTCAATTCAGGTGTTGCTACCAAAGCTAAAGATATAAAGAAAATTTGGACAAATTATGCAAGATATACAATGTTTATACCAATAGCTTCACACAACACATTTTAAATGTGATCTTGGAACGACTGGTGTGTTGGCCTTGTAATAACTGCCCTAACCTCCAATAATGAGGTCGGTGATTTTAAACCTTCCATAAAAGCATTATTGGACATGTTTTTTTTTTTTTAATTTTAGTATAAACCTTGCAACAATAGATTAGAAATAGTAGAGATAAAAGTACTAGATGTATATGATGATGATAGCTAAAAATTATAAATTGTTCAATTTTAAATTTTATTTAAATCCTTTTATGCAAATATCCTCTTTGTTTATCCCACATTATGTTATTTAATAATAATAATAATAATAATAGTAATAAAAGCATGATACTTGCCAGAACTAACCATTCTACAGGTTTTGGAGGTTTTGTTTTGCCCTAAGCTGAATTTAGAATAGAAAGATCTAAACTTTAACACATGTCCAAGGACATTTTTATGGAAGGTTTAAAACCACCAACCTCTGTATTAGAGGTCAAGGCAATTACCACTAGGCCAACGCATTAGTACTTCCCAGATCACATTTAAAATGTGACATATGTGAAGCTATTCATAATAGACGAGAAATAATACACATAAAAATTATCAACTGTTCAATTTTAACTTCTATAGTTTAAATCATTTAAGCAATCCTCTTTATTTACCCTACATGATGTAATTTAATAATAATAATAATAATCATAATAGATAATGATAATAATAACAATAAAGCTTTTCAGATAGTAGTAAAAAAGAAGCTCTGAAAGTGCTAGTTGCAAAAAAATCATATAGTGCCTTAAACGTGGCTTAAAAGAAAAACTGCCTATCATTTTAAAAACAAAAATAACTGAGGTAAATGAGGCACAAATTCTGGTTAGCTAATGAAAGCTGATAATAAAAACACCCAAGTTCAACATCTATCAAAGATAAAGGATAAACGATATGTGCCCTTTTGGCGTAAAAAAAAAAGCCTCAACAGGTTTCATTTATGGTTCCAAATTTTGCATAACATGTAAAAAATCAAGGAGCTGAAACATCGCAAATGGATTCAACAGCTTATGCCTAAAGATAGCACTAAAATTTTGTTGTTTAGTTCATTTGCGCTTAGGTGCACATCAAGGTTTTCATTCAAATGCAGATGACACAAGTGTCAAAAATAGACATCTAAAGTTCATGAACCTGAGATCTTTCAAAAAGGACTAGAATCAATCAAATTTAAGGTCAGCAGAACAAAAACTCTGCTTATTTGGTTCCATTATCCAACGTCCAAATTACTTGAACTAAGAAAAACCTCTTTTTGCTCCATGGATTAAAAGTCGGTACTGTTTACTAAGATCAATCAGGTAAAATCCCCGTCAATAAATTCCAAATGGAAGGTAAAAGCAAAGAAAAAACTGAAGATGAGGGTGCAACCGATCTGGCATGTACAGAGAACCACTCGATTTATTAAAAAGGAAACCCTAGATAAATTCATTGTACAAGGAGAAAAGAAGCCCTAAGGGATCGTACATCGCCAAAGGAATTGTGCGATTTAGAGAGAAAGAAAATGTATTAGTCTTACCCGATTCGCAGAAGAGCAATAGTGCAGAGATCGAGTGCGAGATCACTTCGCGAGAGAGCTGGACAGTGAAGAGGCCATGTTTGAAATTTAAATAAATAAAGAGAGGGACAGAGAAAAGGGGCTTTTTAACATTGAAGCTTCAATAAATCTGATCCGTTTATTTCGGGGAAAAAAAAAAGATCTGTTACTGATCTTTCGATCAGCTTGGAAATAACATCCATAAGGCCTGTATTTTGAAATGGACGGACGGGATTAGATGACCGTTAGAGAAGTTAAACTGCTGATGAAATATAATTTTTTTGCACGGCCCGAGGTTATTGAGAAATTATTAGGTGCAAAGTTTGGATGTTAGCTTTATATTCAGACTCCAATTAAATGAAGACACATAGCTTTTACGTGACCCGACAACCCAACTCATTTGTACACACTGTGTATAACTTGTATACAATGTGTGTAACTAGTATAAAGTGTGTGTACAAGAAGAATTTATACACATTTTGGGCCCGGCCGGGTTGTCGGGTCACACTAGAAAAAAATACATGTCTTCATTTAATTGGAAGTCCGGACATAGAGCTACGTTCAAACTCCGCACGTAATAATTTCTCCCTTATGAGAGAAGTCAACCGCTTTATTTGTCATTATTGTGGTTAAACCTAGCTTTTGGAGATTGATAAATATAAAAAAAAAATTAAAGAAATCCCTTATGCAATTAATCTAACCTTGAAATTACTTATAAATCTAAAATATAATTGGGGATGAGAAAAAGATTTGATTTTTATGTCGCCATCAAAGATATAAAATTTTGTATTTATGATAACATTATGATTCATCCATACAAAAATGAATTTTTCATGGACAATATTGAAGTTATGATCATAAAGAAATACTGAATAATCAAACAATAATACAGAAGAACTACATTAGGACGTACTCAGCTCTAGTCATGAATGCAATAGGAGTACTAACATTAAAAAAGGAATGGAATTTGAATGCTTGGATGTATAAGAGCTTCTTAAAGGAAAAATTATTCTGTGCGGACACCGAACGGTCCAGAGGCGAATCAAAATGCATCATGTCACCCGATATTTAGCGGTACACATCAAAAAAAGACGTCGTGCTTTCTCATTCGTCTCTGGACGCTGATCGATGACCGCACAGAATAATTTTGCCTTGTTAAGAGCTTCATAACTGTCATTTATTTCTTATTTATGACAGTATTAAGTCATTCAGATCCATAAAAAGAATTAGATTGATCCTTAAGGACTATGATTTCTGAGTTAGATTTAAGAGGAGATGGTATGAATAATTATTGATTTATTTATCAATGCAATTTTGTGATGGAGCAAACATGCTAGATTGGCATGTCCATAATTTACAGAATACTAAAAATCAATTTGGTTAAAATAATATGATAAATATTCTTCATTTGATTTTCATGTCATCTTTTACTTATGAATTATTCATTTAGACCATAGAAAAATAAGTTTAGAAGCGAAGTGGCTAAGATTTCGTTTGGGACTGTTTTCTTACTGTTTTTTAAAACAATTTTTAAGTACACAAATTTTTAATTTCTATACTAAAAAGTTGCTTTAAGAAACAGTAAGAAAACCGTCCCAAACAAAATGTAAGAATAACTTTTCACGGCCTCTCTTGATTGGCAAAGATATTTATGTGAAGTATATAATGTAGGGCAAAGATATTTTCATGGCATCGTTTACTTTTTACCTCCAAGTCTTAGACAAATGCTACATTTCTCATTTATTGTAGATGTTGATGGCAAAGAAGAATCTGAGGATATAATTGAATATAATTATTGTTCGTAGCATTAATAATTTAGATTTTGTTTGGGACGGTTTTTTTACTGCTTTTTATAAAATTTCATTTTAGAAAGCAATAAAAAAGCCGTCTCAAACAAAGCCTTAGTATTGTGTGTAAATATCTACTACATGGAAATGGAATTGATATTTGACAAAGATGTTATATACTTCATTGGCTTGGAAAAAAACTTATGTAGGTCATACATAGAAAAATAAATTGCTTAATCAAGTTATTTTACATATATTCATTGCAATATCTTAAATAATCTAAGTTCCATATAATTAATATTTTTTTAATTATTAGTTTATATATATGAGAAATAGTTATTTAATTTTGTGATGAAATTGTGACCAATTTGTGCAAAATTGATCATCCTTAAAATATTTGCAACAAACTTGTGACTATCTTAAGGCTAGCCTATATTTTTATGTTGGAATATGACTATGGCAAGTGGGTTGTTACACTTGTGATGGGACCACTTTGTCCAACATATATAAGATCGTAGGAAGTCCATCACTGTTTTGTAACTGATGTATTATGTCATATGTTGATATTTTAATCCTTTATAATAGACTTACATTCTATAATTTATAAAAAATTTAGGGGTGTATATATTTGACATGACCCGAAAATTTCGGGTTCGGGTCAACTGCTCCCGAATCAGGTCGAGTTCGGGTTAGGACTTTTGATATGTTTCAAAAATAGGTTCAGGTTGACCTGAAAATCTGAAAAAGACCCGGAATGACCGTCTGCCCGCTCTGCCCACGTAGCCTGCCTCGCTGTCCACGTCGCATCAGCCATCGAGCCGCTGCCACATTGCTTTCCCCGCTACCTAGTGTGTCGACTTTCGCGTAGCCTGCCCCACTGCCTCTTGTATGGCGTCTACCCAGTGACCGCGACCGCAATGCCGCTGCCCGCGATCCTGCTTCAGTTATCACGTCTATCGCCCGTCACCGATGTCGCACGTCTCCTTTACTGTGTTGCATCGCATGTCGCTGCTGCTACCGACGTTGGAGTTACATGATTTATTCCGCTACCGAACCCAAAGCAAAGTTACGGGATTTGACTTACAGGTCAGGTCGGTTTGACATAAATCTTAAGCGAGTCAGGTTTGGGTCTTAAAAACCTACCCGTTTGTAAAAACGGGTCACATGTCTAATTCAGGTTGACCCGTATAGTATCGGGCAGTTTCGGGTTTGACGGTTCGACCCGAACTCAACTCGTGACCCAAAATTGATACCCCTACAAAAATTTATGATAACATACTATTTTGTTGCATTAAAAATTTATTACAAGAATTTTTTTTTTTTTTTTATATTGGTTTGTTTGCGATGAAATGTTCATTGCAATCATATGCTTGTAATGGATTTTGATGTTTTGATATTTGTAATATCCATCATATGTAAATTATGGTCTTTCCCATTACAGTGGCAACTTTAGGTCCATCACAATCCTATTAAAAAATTAATAAATAGATATAACGTTCATAGATATTCTGCAAGGGTGCCTCCAAATCTTTCTTGAAGCCTTCCCTTAGGTTTTAAAAGGATTTTGGTGCTATCCTAAAAAATGAAGTAGAATTGAATACACATATAGATATGTGCATGTATGTGTGCGTGCGTGCATGTATGTGTGCGTGCGTGCATGTGTGTGTGTGAGAGAGAGAGAGATTTTTTACTAATAAATCAGATTTTAGGGTAATTGGAAAGTAAATTAGTTATTAAATAATATTTTGTGGTTGAAATGTGTAACTACTATCAAACAAACAAACTCAATCTTGGGTTTGATATTTGATAAATCAACACATGAAAGTGATAAAAAGAGATATTCGAGAATATTTAAATTCCTATTTAATTTAGATGAGTAAATTCATAGTATAAGGGAAGACTAGGGCTTCTCTTGGGGCAGCTTTCTTAATGCTTTATAAAATAGCTTTTTTTTTACAAAAAATTTAAGTTTAAGAAATTTTTACACTAAAAAGTTGATTTAGTCTCAAACAAATCCTAAGTCACCTTAGTTAAACAATTCCCTCAATATTATGTATCAGTCCTTATAATTTTGAATAAGTAAATTATAATTCATCTCATATAGTTTTTTCTATGTCATAATATAATCTTTCTTCTTATCTATTTTTAATTTTACTTTATTTTATTAGAATTAGGCTTTATTTGAGACGGCTTTCTTACTGCTTCTTAAAACAACTTTTTAGTATAAAAATTAAAAAAAAAATATATTCTAAAAAGTTGCTTAAAAACAACAAAAAAGCAGTCTCAAGCAAAACCTATATAGCTATGGGGAGCAATTATGAATACTTCATATCTCTAAAAATCATGCCTCTTAGGATTAAGTAGGGCCTATTTGCCACCATCTATGATAGTAACTTCAATATAATCTATCCCTAATAAATGCTCCATCCCCTTAAGATATAGACAAGGAGTATGAACTCGCCTCCATCTTCTCCACTGATAAATCTTCTTATCTAATTAAATTAAGTATTAAACCAAGTTGCTTTGTTCCTCTCAGCTCCTTTTCTTCAATTGTTCATATGAAAACATTTATGTATTTACCATTTGATCGTAACGAAGGAGAACCAATCCTCCATCGCCTTATTTTGTGAGAGATTATTAGGTGCAGTGCGGATGGGGAGAACCGTCCGCACAAGTCTTATTCCGCTCTAGGTACCGGCACTCGGTACTGCTGGGTACTGCTATGTACTCATGTTTGTGCGGACGGTGCACACTCCGCACCTAATAATTTTTCTTATTTTGGAGTCAACATAGTACTATTCTTAGATGTCTGCTCACTATCATTATTTTTATGCATTATTATTAAGGCTTGATTTGTGACATTTTTTTATTGCTTTTTAAAATAACTATTAAAAATGTTTAATTTAAAAAATTTTTGTATTAAAAATTTACTTAATGAAACAGTGAGAAAGTTGTGACAAAAGAAATCTAAGTTGTAGAGTCTAATATTTATCTTATAACGAAGCATTACTTAGATTTTGTTACAGTTGATACCATAATTCCTTTTTTTTTCTGTTGCTCGAGTAAGAGAGACTTTATATATCTCTGAGAAATTAGGGATGTAATTCTCCATAATAAAATATGCGACGATAGCAGTAAGGTTTAGCTATTAATTAGGTAAACATGTTTAAAGTTCTTTTATTTTTTTTGTGTTGATCTTCTTCCTTTACTTTTTATATTTTTTATCTACATTAGCAAAGGCTTTGTTAGGAGTGCAAAAGAGTTGA